AGGCAAAAATTGGATTACAAAATGGTGTATTTCTGGTAATCAAATAGGTCAGGCCAAGATATTACATATTGCACCTCCAATTCTCTATTAACTAATCATCTGCCAGACTGAAACTTGAGAGTGTTAGGAAAATTTTGAAAATATATGGATACAAAAATATATGACACAAATGTATAATATATATTAGGTTCTAGAAATATTCCCAAAATATTCCTGTTACTATCTCGTAATTATGTGAAAGTGTTCAGTACTATAATAGGATCACGTAACTAGCATAGTAAGGCGCAATATAAATTCAGCCAGCATTATTCCACAATTTTGATCAGATTTTGAGCATAATAACTCAGCATCCAAGCTGGCCTGAAACTGGTAAACTAATAGAAACACTCAAGTTTCCTACCAGTTCCATGACAGTTCCAGAATACTACTAAGTTACTATCATGATGCCAGCTTGGATCCTTCAAATCACATGCCCTAAAGATTCAGCCTGAATTATGCCATAGTGCCGGTCAAATTTAGATATAGATTTACATCAAATTACTACACCACCTGACATGATATTTTTATCAAATTTTAGCATTTTGAAAAGTAATCAAATAAGCGTATAGGGTAAGCACTCCAATATAGAATCCAATACCTAACCAAGTGCAGGAGGTCAGCATTCTTAAAAATCAGATATCCAAATAGCTATAGAGGACCAACAACTTCATTAAAGAATTTAGCATGTAAATAACTTAGAAATAAGAAAAGCGTGGTATTTAGATTATATAGTGGTAGTTAGATTAAATAGTGGGTGGTAGTTAGATTTTATAGTGGTAAAAAAATACAGATAGCAAGAAAGATTTAAAAGGATAGCTAGAGTATAAAAAAGATACCTGATACGTGAAAATAAATAGATTATATGATAATAATTAGATTATATTATTTAAATTATATAGTGATAATTAGATTATATTATTTAGATCATATAGTGGTATCCAAATTATATGATAGTATTTAGATTATATAGCAGTACCCAGATTATATAGTGATATTTAGATTATATGGTGATATTCAGATTATATGGTGGTAATATAATCTAAGGCAAGTGGGATACTACCATATAATATAAATTATATTACATGGTGGTATCCCACTATTATCTTAAATTTCTTTTTAAAATAATTGTAAAACTTTCACAATTATATAATGAACGATTAAATCTTAATATTGAAGAAGATGATAATATTAAATATGAATCATAATTAAATGATATTGAATTAAATGAAATTAAAAAAATACAAAATAATATAATAGTTGATAATTTATTACAACAAGCATTTTCAGGTAAATTTTATTTTAAGAAATTAAAATAATTTAATAATTTTTCTATTTAATAGAATTTAACTAAATAACTATACAGTTTACTTATAATCAAAAATAATAGTTGATATTATAAATATTATAAAATTCTTTATTAATAAATTATTATTGATTTAATAAAATAAAATTGCTTTTAAAATTATTTAAAAAATAAAATTTTTATTTTTTTTTTCTTATTATATAAAAATTGATAATTTTGATTCAATCCATATTATGAAATATAAAAAAAATTTTTTTTTAAAATAAATTTTTTTTGTGACAGAAAGTTTATTATTAATAAACATAGTAAATTATATGATCTGTAACATGATTTTAATAGCTTACCTTCTATATATGATCCTAAGGTTATGAGAAACTAACTATAATGTAAATAGCTTAGTTACATTAAACGACTAAACTACTGTTAAAATTTATGCTGATTATTTTTATATCTAAATCATGATTTTATTGGTCAAAAATGTATCACATAGAAGGGTTTCTAGGAAAATCAGGTTTTGAGAAATTTTTCACTTAAATTAAGAACTTAATACATTTTAATCTAATAACATTAAAAACTAAAATACAATAAAAATCTTAATTTTGTTAAAAAATTCCCAGAACTTGATTTTCCTAGCAATTAACTCACATGATCTTTAAAGTCACATGAATAATTTAAATTACATGATAATTGTAAAATCATAATATATATTTTGTGATATTAATATTACATTTTGCAATATTTTTATAATAGTTTTTTAAGCATAATTTTTAAAATTTTAGTTTTTTTATTTCTATAGAATTTTAATGTTAAGATTAAATAAATGCATAAGACAATCTTGGAATGTTATTAAAAAGCATTAGAAGTAAGTGAAAAGTTCTAAAGAAATGCCATCTAATGAACTATCAGATGTTAAACCTGATAAGATTGATGAATTGTAGATTAGAGATTTTTGGATGAAGGGTGAGAAAATACGCTTTGATAGTGATAAAGTTATACAATCATTATAAGCATTGTAACCAAATATACTAAAACAATTAGTTGAGAATATAAAAGGATTATACACATAGGTTAAAAAATTACGTAGGCTAATATATAAAGGTGATACACAATTAACATTGTGAAATAAAAAGGCATATTTACGAAAGGCAGTTTTAGATTTTAAGAAAATTACTGACATATTTTCTAATAAATTTGCTAAGCCTAATATAGATAATGATGACTTTACATTTAATGATATTTATGATAGCAGTAATGATAATAATAATGAATTCACATTAGAATCTCTAGATTTATTATTAAAAAAAGAACGATGATTTGCAGCTTCGAATAGTAAGTCAATTTCTTTATCTTGTTTAGAATCAAGGATTCACTAAGATAGAAGCAAAAAACTTTTTTACTTAGAGTTTGAATAAAAGTTCATAGCAAGCACTAGTGTATAAAATTTAGACTAAAAGTTATGTGCACTAGTTGTACTAAAAATAGAAAATTAATATATATATTACATAGTATTTTCATTTTTATAAATAATTTATCCATTTTTATATATAATTTATCTATTTTTAGTAATTATTTGCTTCTGAACAAACTAATGACTTAATAATAGTACGATTATTACATCTAAATATGAATATCATATAAAAGTCAGATTTTTTTTCCTTAATAAAGATTTTAAATTTTGTATTACTGAATATTTATGCATATATAAGTTTAAATTAAATATTGCTGACTTTGTAAAGTTTATTGAAGATAAGGTTATCCCTACTCTTAAAATAGAAAAGAAGATGAGTATTTTATACTCAACTGCACGTTAATAATTACATATACTTAGATGAAAATATAAAGATCACTTAAAGAATATTTACTTTGATAGTTATGAGCGTGAAGATGTAATGAAAGATAGACATCAATTTTTGGAATAATAGGCAGAATTATGAAAGCAGATGGCTATCTATGAAGGTAAAAATTTAGATCAAATCATTTTACCTGCACTTTAGCATGACATTCCTAAAATTGTTCCCATACCCATAATAATTCAGTCTTTTATGCCAATAATAATATTGTTAAGGCTTAGAGTCTGCAGATGAGAGTTGACTTCATTGTAAGTTGTAAAACCTTAGCATTCATGTAAATGATTTTCTTTGTGAGACTATTGGATGGCTTTAGCTTTTAGAGAAGAATTGTTTTATTAACAATTTACTTTCTGATGGTGAACAGCTTCTGTACACTGAAGTTTGCATTACAATGTATTCTAGTATAAAAATAAAAATATTATTAAATAGGTAAAAGAAAGGGCCATCCTAATATTTAAACGTATTCACCCAGAAAAAGTTACCCTATTCATGTTCAATAACAGTTGCAACTATAATGCAATTGCTGATGATATATTAGTAGTTTTAAAAATGAATATGAAAGATGACAGAAAATAGCCACTTCTTTGCAATGATAAAATGCCCAATGGTTTACTCATATTATAACATTTACAGATAATGATGATACAATAAAACTTAAAGGTATTCAACAAGTCTTTGAGAAGCATAGTTTATGAATAATGGGTTTGAAAAGAAAATGTAATGCGTGTACACAATATAGTTCTGATCCAATTAAACTGAACTATTGCATGATATGCATCCTTTCTACCTAATCTAACTTTGCATCACAAAGAATACACCTACAAGAGGTAAGCTGCAATTAATAAATTAATTTTTAAATTTTAACTAACATTTTTTTAAGTATACTTATCTTTTTAGGTTATTGAGACAGCAGGATATATGTGCATGTTCTACCCAAAGTTCCACTGTGAACTTAATTATATCGAGTCCTTTTAGGCAGAGGCAAAACGATATTCACAGTTTAACTGCAATTATACTTTCAAGGATTTTAAGGAAGTTGTATTGTGTGCATTAGATTCCATTAGCCTAACAAAAATTCACTGATTTTCACGACATTCTGTGCATTATATAAGTGCTTATGAACTTGGACTTTCAGGTAAGGTGGTTGTCTTTGCGGTCAAGTGGTATCAGTTTCATCGTCATGTTCTTGCAAATGTTTTGGAAGAATTCAGTGACATGTAAGTGAGAAATAAAAGATTAGCCAATCATAGCCGGTCATGTGTTTTATACGAACCAATCATATTTCTGCATGTGATAAAGGCCGTTGAAAATTCCGCTATTACTATTAAAGTTAACGTTAAAAAATTCGATTATATCAAGAACTATTAAACAACGTATTTTTTTTTTTAACATTTTTATGATTAAAAAAACTTCCTTAACATTTTAAAGTTATTGAAAATTATTTGATGTGACTAAGACATTTGCATCATATTAAATTTATTTTATATATATTTTTTATTGTCATTCTGTTCGGTCTATTGGCTCATATCGTCTAGTCACGGTAAATTTTATAAGCTATGTTCGATCTGTTAATGTATCATGAAATTTGGCATCTGAAGTAAATGAATATGATTAGCCAATCTTACATTAATTAATCACGTGCAGTTTGAAAAGTCAACGTTTGAACTAAACTATATCGAGATTAACTTTGATTTAAATAAAGTTTTATCTTTTTTTTTCGCAGCTTTCTTTTTGTGTAACATTAACTCTAAAAACTTCGGCACCTCTTTTTTTTTTTCAATGTTTTATGAAAAATTTTAATGAAAAAAATGACCTGGCTCCTAATTTTTATGTTAAAATTTTTAATTTTTATTGGTGCATAATTGCACACCTTTTATAAAAAGGGGTGAGAAAAAAAAATGTAAATCAAACTTCATCTATAGGACATTGGTCAAAGCAAAAAAAACATTTAATAAAAGTATCTTTAAGAAATAAGCCGATTATCGTCGAAGATTCTTCATTTGAAGAGGATTTGTCATCTGAGGAGGGTTTTTCATTCGATAAAAATTCTAAAATATCTTCTGATGATGAGATTATGTGGGCAGATTCTGAACTTGATAATGAACCTGAAAATACGTTAAAAAAACTAGTTTCTGATACAAAAAATATTAAATCTAAACAGCCACTTCAATACATAGGTAACAGTATCCGAACTCAAAAAAGATGCAAAGCAGCCGCAAAGAAAATGGTTATACAAAATGGCAATACTATTACGCAATTTTTTCTTCCTATACAAAATGAACCTAATACACAAACAGATGATACTCATTCAAATGAATTGGAAGGTCATGATAATATCAATTCATCATCCATGAGGTGAGAAATAGAGAGTGATAATGAAATTGAATTAATAAAGTTAATTCCTTTTATAGAAAAAAAACTTCAAGATGAGATTCTATTACCTGAATAAAAATGGCGATTAGGAGCTGTACTTCAATATTGTTGATGCTATCAATTAAATATCAAAAAAATGGAAGCCAGCCTTTTTGTTGCACAATAATTAGGTAAAAATGAATATTTTGCTCGTTAACTTCGAAAGTAGACTCGTATGTTAGCACAAAATCAAGAAATTTCTGTTTCAATACGTGGGAAACATATTAAAATTAAAAGTCTTCTTGATGATGAAGACATACGTCATGAAATTGTTAATTATTTACGAATAAATAAATTTGAATTTTATTTATCAGATTTTATTAACTATATATCAAATAATATATTTCCAAAATT